CGAGGAGACTAGGATCGGGGTGGGTTAAGGTGTCGACGTTTAAAGGTTCTAGCTCTCCTAGATTAGGGTTTAAGTCATTCAGGGAGTCTGATTCAATCTCTTCAGTTTCATCCTCAAAGAATTCTTCGTTATTAGTGATATCATTAGCATCCACGAAATGGATGCACTCAGTCTCAGGTTCAGGGGACCTCTTCTCCTTAATGTTGTCCTTTCTTATAATCTTATTTGCAGGGTCAAGAACTGGGGAGGCTAAAGGTTGACTGGGATGGTTAGAAGTAGGTCCAAGTGGGGAGTCATAAGAGATTTGTCTAACAGAAGACCCAGTAGGGGGTCGGCCATCAAGGTTAGGTGAAGACCTATAGGGTGGGGCAGCAACCTGGATGTTACTAATGCGTGGGTGGACTCGACCACAGTAAGGTCCATGGTTTGTTTTGCAAAAAGGGGTAGGGTGGTGCTCTAAATGATGGTCACTAGGGGTAGGGGTATTGAGAGTGTAATACCCAATGGTTTGATGGGCAGGGGGTGACCTAAACTTAGAACCAGCAGGGAGTCCATAGGTAGAGGGTCTATATTTTAAGTTGAGTTCTCTCCTCATGTCTTTCCAAGTAAGGTACTCACCGCGAGACTCTCTATGATCTTCCAATATTGCCCAAAATTGAAGAGCACTACCGCTCAGGTGTGACCTAGCAATGCTAAACTGGCGAGAATTAGGGATTTCATGCGATTCAAAATAGTCCTCTAATTGTCTAACCCATTCCCTAAAGTAGTAAGGGTCCGAGGAACCATCAAAGGTGGGTAGACGATAATGTGGCTCAAAGTGAGGTCGTTGTGGCTTAAACTCGGATCTAGGTTGAAAAGCAGAGTGGGACACATAATTCGAGTGAGGATAGTCAATGGGTTTCTCCATCATAATTTTAGTCATATTACCCATTAGGTTAACGATATCATCTAAACTCTTTTAGAGTCTTATCGGGTCCATTGGGAAGTGTCAAGTGATTCTTAATGAAGAATGGGTGTAAGGGACAACACTTTCCCAGGAGAAAACACCATTACGAGTGGTTGTATGGTGCCAGAAGAACTCAGGACAGCCAGCTACAAGACTAATTTAAGCGATCTAGGCAAGTAGGTTGGACTCTGGAACGTGGACAGCAAGTGAATACTACCTAGAACTCTTCCAAACGGATGCTAATAGGTGCAGGAATATAGGGGACAGCAATCTACAGCAGTTGGGGAAGTTGCCTATGTGTTTAGGATGACTTTTAGGGTGTGGGCAGCACCTAAACACTAGGTTGGGGTCACCTAAAGCTCTCTAAATATTGCAGAAATTTTCTGGACAGCGATGTTCAGCCGTTGTTGAAGTTGTTTGGGTGTTTGGAAGGGTCCGAGGGAGTGGACAGCACTTAAACAAGGACTTAGGTTCACTAACGGATGCTTAACAGCAGCTGAAACAGTGTGGACAGCAGCTATACTCAAGGGTGTAATTGTCCTAAGCAATTAGAAATGATGTAAGTCAAAAGGCTGCACTCACACTCTCACTAGGACGACTTAAATGCCAATGTATGGGTGCAGGAAATGCAATTACAGCAGTGAATAAACTTAGCTACGCGATGATATGCATGCAAAATTAAACTATAATGCAAGGTCAGACCCTAGGATGTTTTTCTAACATGTCATGCATGCCTACCATGCTCTGATACCAAGATGATGTGGAACAATCCCATGCGAAAATGATTTTCTTAATGAAAGTTTGCACGCTTAGATTTAGAGGCAATAATAGGCAAGATCTTATGCGGAATTGAACGATAAGATAAATATTAAAAGGCACTTAGCTTAAGTTAAATCACATGAATAAAAGTGAAGTTCAAAAAGATAGCCAACTTAATCCGACATTGCATACATGGATCGTTCCAACAATAAATTCCAATACTAATAATAAGATTAGTCTATGAAAGATCCCTCACATAACTCTTCCTATTACTAGGTTCTAGCGGCGCATAATTGACATGATCTTCATGAATCCATTAATAACCATAAACTAAGAGTAAACTAGGAAGATAAGAGCGTTAGGGAAAGAGTTTCACCCAAGGAAAGGAGTAATACAACGTTCCAGTGATGCTTTGTTGGTTAGATCGGACGTAGGGGGTGCTTGACAGCTTCTTGGATGACTTGGACAGCCACAATCCACGAACAACTTCTTGGGCAGCGAGTCTTCAACATGGGAAAACGATTCCCAGCCGTCGGGCCTTTAATGGTTGCTCCCGGAGTGGATGGGACAGCAGCAAACTGCTGCGGGAATCTTCTGGACAGCAGCTTTGAGAGCAGAGACAGCAGTTGGTCGTGTAAAAAACTGTGGACAACCACTTGGAGGACTTGTGAAAGTCCTGGACAGCAGTTGGGAGGCCTTCTTATTGTTGTGGATGCAATGGCAAAGGCTGGAATTTTCTGGCTGCAGGTTTAGGAGGTAGGAAACTCAATGTTTTCAGGAGTGGGAAGGATTAAGTGGTGGTGGGGGGGGGAGCCAACGCATGAGTCTAGGGAGGTTTCAGCCAGCAACAATGGAGAATTTCCAATGGGAATTAAATTCCAGAATTGACAGATAGGAAAAACGTGGGGGGGGGGGGAAAGGGGGAAGGAGCCGTTTCACGTTTTAGATTTTTGAAATCTAAAATTACCATTTAGGAAATCTGGAATTAACCATTTGAGAGGAGACATTAAAGAGGTATTTAAGTGGTGGTGAGGTGGCAATTAGAGAGAGAAGCAATGGGATGAGGTGGCCGGCCATATGGAGAGAGAGAGAGGCTTGAGTTTCAATTGAGTGGGGACCACAATCTTAATTTCAGTTTTAACAAAAATCTGAAATTAAATTTTAGTTTTCTAAAGAGGAGTTTCCTAAATTAAAGGCATTCAATTAGATTGAATTCGAATTTCAAATTCGAAATTTAAAATCCAATTAAATTGAGGGCATGATTTTAGGGAAGCAATTTAGGAAACAATTAACGACTCATAACAATTTGAATCTCAATTTTGAAATTCAAAGGAGGGGCAAGAGGCGGCGACAGGAAGGGGGGAAAGAGGGCCGGCGGGCTGGTGGGCTGGCCGGCGGGTTGGGCTGGCCGGTGGCTGCTGGCCGGCGGATTGGGGCTGCAGGCCGGCGGCCTAGACAATCCAGGGAAGGGGCGGCGGCAAGAGCAAGGGAGGGAGGATTGTGGGGAAACTTCTCGGGATCCAATGCATGAATCTCTAATCTCCCACTAGTGGCTTCAATCCAAATCTTCACAACAACGAATTGATCAAGAGAACTAAAAGAAAACGAAAGAACAAGAAAAACCTAGAACTTACAAAGAGATATAGCTTTTCCTACGAACTCACTAAGAAATCGTGGAGGTTTGCATTCACAAAGAGAACATGAAATGTAGAACTCACAAAGAGATCAAAGTAGAAATTCTCATTTTGTTCATCATCCCATAATACAAAACAACTAGCCTATAAATAGGCTAAAGAAGAGAAAAGAAATAAAAGACTAAAATGCCCTTCGGCCTACAATATTACATGACCACCCGTAAAGGTATAAATGAAAAAACAACTATATAAAATAAACTAGTACATGAAACATATAAATAAATAACTCAAAATCATAACCGTTGATCTCCGATGTCCTCATCACAAGAATTTAAAGGAAGAGAAAATTCATGGACAGTGGGGAATATTATATGCTACTGTATGTTGGGAAATCTAACAATAGAAAGTCGATATAAAAATGGAAAACTTTGAAAAACAATACTATTGAGGTGAATATAAATAATGATAGAGTGATTGCTATTGTGTTAATTGTTGGTGGGAATTTTATCAACCCTATTGAGTGCTTATTCTCAAGAGGGTCAAAACGAACGTTTGAAAAAATTAGTTTTGAAAAGAAATACGTTGGCAAACAGTACATACTTGAGGAAGAGAGAAAAAAAATGTTAGTTGTGATTTAAATGGGCGTTAAGGCTATAACAGGATGAATTATGCAAAAATTGGAACATTAAAGTTGAATTATAATTAATGTGAAACAATATGTTTCATTATAAGAACAATATTAAGCCTTTATCTCACTATGTGGAGTAGGCTATATGAATCTTTTTTCTTCATTGTGTTTTGTTAAGAGTCAAATTCTCATTTAAATCTAATAACGAAAAGTCATTTATAATACATTCAAACCTAGTCTTCTTAGGTCTTCCTCTACCTTTCTTAATATAGGCTAAATCTAATACATCTACTCTTCTAACCAAGTCATTGGAAGGCTGATGTATTATGTGATCAAACCATCTAAGATGACTCATTAATCTTATTTGCCACTAGAGCTACTCTAACCTTTTCACCGATATACTCATTTTGCATTCTATCTCTAAGAGAGAAGCCACTCATCCATACGAGTATCCTCATATCTACAACACTCAACCTAATTTTATGCTTCTTTTTTAATGGCCAACATTCCAAGTCATAAAATATTATAGGTCTCACCACCATCTTATAGAATTTCCTTTAAGTTTGAGGGCTACTTTTTTGTCACACAATAGGCTTGATGCATTCCTCCACTTTAACCATCCAACTTGAATTCAACTAATAATATCCCCATCTATTTTACCATCACTTTGAACAATAGACCTGTGTGTACTCCTTTTAATGACTTGATCGCCCAAAGCCACAATCTCCCCACTAGATCTATTACTAAAATTACACTCCATGTATTTAGTTTTGGATCTACTCAAATGAAAACCTTTGGAATCTAACATTGATCTCCATAATTCAAGTTTTCCTTCAACTTCCCCTCTAGTATCATCAACAAAAAGAATATCATCAGCACAAAGCCATACAATAGGGTATATATATTAAAAAAAATTACCCAAAAATACTATATTTCATTATATTAAAAAATTTCCATAAATGTTCTAGGAGAGTTTAAATAATATTGCATATAACTGAGGAGATTTGGAGGAACAAAAATGATTAAGCCCAAGAAACTTGTTGTCAAGGAATGTCAAAAAATAAAGTCTTCAAATAAAAAAAAATAGATCAATTACATTTACCTCCTAAATAGATAATTAATATTATATGTACTTCTCCTACATTTTTTGAAATTACACTTACATCCATTCCTTTTTTTTTCTATTTTTTAAATTTTTTTCTATTTTTATATTTTTTTACACTTACATCCATCCCTTTTTTATTTTTTTACACTTACATCCATTCCTGAATTCATTAATTGCCAGATTTAGGTTAACAAGTAATATAATATCTAATAATAGAAGAGACTAATGTAATTTTAAAACAAAAGTATTTGGGCTAGCATTTAACATAATATCTAACAATAGGGGAGATAAGTATAAATTTAGAAAACACACGAGAGTTATGAATAATATTAACTATTTATAGGGATGCAAGTGTAACTAGCCCAAAAAAATTATAAAAAAAAAAATGTAAAGAAAGTGGTAAGCAGAGTTAAAGTTCCAGCTCTTGAAGATTGACACAGTGGGTTTGGAACCGAGTAACTTAAAAAATAAAAAAAGAAATATCTAAGCAAGAGAATAGATCAAGAGATTTTGATCAACATTGATGAATAAAGTGAAAATGTTATTTTAGAGATGGGAGGGCCTAATACATTTTAGAGAAGCAAAATAAGTTAAATTATGATGCTTACAGTTACAGAAGATTTGATCCCAAAAAAAAAAAAAGAGACTGAAGTAACTTTGAAGAAGAAGCACAAAGTTATAGGACCAGATAAGATATGAGATTTGAAAAATTATAAGAAATAATCGAGCAGTTTGATTTACAAGTCTCTAAAAATGAAATCATAAATAGTAAGAAGCACAAAGTTATAGGACCATGTTTTTATTTTTATTTTTTTGAAATAAAATGTATAGGTTCATGAAATTGTGAAAACACCTTCAATCATTTAATTAGGTAAGCAAAGCATAATTGTATCTTAATCAAGAATATTACTATTTACTATTCTAAACGAATTTGAAAGCTGTCTAATAAAGAAGCTGCAAATATCCAAGTTGAATGTTGAGGACACGAGACTATTAAGATAAATGTGGAGTACAACAAGGAATAATAAAGACAAATAGTTGTTTTAAAGAGATGTTGGGCATAATACCTATTTAAAATATAGTATAATTTGGCTGGTTTAAAGTTTAAACATTTACAAGGTAGGGTAGATTCAACCACTTACAAGACAGGATTATAAAATTAATGCAGAAGTATTATAAAGCAAAGTGATAGATCAAAGGTAACATGGTTAGGTGGTGCAATGAGCAAAACTTAACACTTCAAATAGTACGTAATAGGCTAAATAAATGAAGATTTAGAAGAAACCCCAATAGCTCGAATGAGGCTAATGCATAAAACACGAAAGAGCCATAAAGAATGTCTTGAAAATATTAAAATTTAACTTAGAAAAAAGTATGCTTTCTTTATAAATAACCAGTAGAGAGAACAATTATAAAAGATTATTTTAACAGAGGATCCATTAAACAATTCAACTCAAAGTTAAGGAAATACCTGCAATTCACCTCGTCCAAGGGCAGGCTTCAACAAATTTGAAATATCAAGACCAGATCCCTTGTTCCCCCTCCCAACTGTGCCAGATCCTACTAGTGTATGAACTTCATCAATGAAGAGTATCACATCGCCTGTATTTAACATAAATAGTCAGTATAACAAGTTTAACATAAACTTTAATTAGAGCATCCAAAATACAAAAAAACATGGGCCGTGATGACCTGCTTTCTGCACCTCAGCAATTAAACCTGTAACACGTGCTTCCAATTCTCCTCTCTCCTTTGCCCCAGCCATCAACAAGCCTATGTCCAGTGACATTATGCGCTTTCCCTATACAACGAGAAATGCCAATCGAAACATTTATTTGAAAGACTAACATATACCGAGAAAACAGCTACAAACAAGAAATAATAAAATATTTTATGATGAATGCATCATAGAAAACATACAGAAAGAAAAATTGGAATGCCACCACATGATATTCGTAGTGCTAAGCCTTCAGCAATTGCTGTTTTGCCAACTCCAGGATCACCCAGAAGAATAGGGTTGTTTTTGGTTCTTCGGCAAAGGATTTGAACAACTCTTTGAATCTCAATATCTCTACCAATTACAGGATCTATATGCCCTTCACTAGCCCAAGCAGTTAAATCAACACAGAACTGAGCCAAGATACTCTTATCTGGAAATGACAAAAAATAAATAAATAAATAAATCTGCAATACAAGGTGCTTAACAAAAAAATTATCACAATAAGAATGAATTTAGAGCGAAACTAGCCTTTTGATTTCTCTGGAGGCTTCGCTCGTGCAGCTTTACCACTGGGCAATTTTTGCCGCATCTTTGAAGAGACTTTTGATGTTTCTCTGCCATCTTTAGCGAGTTCTCCTTGAAGTCTCAAAAGTGCTGCTGATGTTAAGTTATTGGCATCAGCTCCCAATCTACAGTAATCATCCAATCATGGTCATTGTAATGCAAAAATTTACAGAATGCAGAAACACTAAAGAGATCTCTATTGCATGGACAAAAAAAAAAAAAAAAAAAACCAAGCCTAAAATAATCTTATAATCCAATCCATTTTTGGTGTTTTGCCAATACCAACACAACCTCCTCCATACCGCAGATCACACTAAATCTAGACTAACCTCAACAGGTAGCCACCAGCAGCACAAGATCAAGTACTACCCACTAGAATTCAGAGTAGTTTTCCTACTTTCAAATGATTCTACATAACACCTAAATATTTATATTTATATAACACTCAAATCTCTTAAACACAAAGAATACCACTAATATCAACTTATTAAAGTAAAACATGTCTTTTCATATATATGATTTGATATAATTTAGACACATAAGTGATATATGAATAAATATACGAATTTAGGTGCTAGATACATAAATACATAAGAATTTTGTAGAATGCAAGTAAATCACCATAATAATAATATCTCGAAATTAACAAAATGAATTTCATCTATTAAAATTGCCTGAAACTCATAGCGAAACTAAGGGTGAAAGATTATCACGCCAGAAAGAGGAAGGGTGAAAGCTCCACTAAGATGAAAACATTACAAAGTAAAGCTGCTTTTCTGGATGTTCGTGAAACCATGACCTACAATTTAAACCACAAGTAAATCATAACAGTTTTTTTAATTCGTACAAAAAGGATGTGCCTAATACATGAAGCCCCAGTCAATGTAGGGGCCTAAAGGAATTAGTATGTTAAACATTTCGCCTATAGTGCAAAAGTTTATTATCATGACTTGAACTTGTGTGATCATTAGATTAAAAATGACAACAACCTCAGTACCTCACCATATAAACCTTAAAAGTGTGGGAAACTCTGAGGGAAAATAAGAAGCATTGTAATTTCCATGATAAATTCCAGTTTTTGGTTTTGATGCTGCTCACATAAAATCCCTACATAGTTCAAACAAAATCTTCCAATGCAAACATTGTGGGGGAAGATCAGAGGAAACTAAAAGTGCACTCAGTGCATGATACTCCCTTGAATACAAAGTTTGGAAGTGTTTGGTGTAGACAGTATTAAACTTCTAGAGCAAGATACATAATTTCCAAGGATATAACTTGTAACCTAAGTTACATATAAGACAACCTAGCCATTTACTCAAATCTCATCCTCCTATCATAAGGAAAGTAGGAAACCACATATATCAAGATGGCACGGTAGGATCGAGGGGCAAAGTAACTCCTTTAGGCCTTCTCCAACTGAACACCAAATGCATTAGTGACATCGCTCGCGAGCTCCAGCCGAACGACAAAACTTCTGGTATTTGGTTGTGGGTGAACAGTGTGATGTTCACCTTCGCTATTTTTCTGTCTCTACTGGATTTGCCGAAGAAACTCGCGAAGGAGAAAGACGGATACTTGAGCGCAAAATGGAGTTAGATTAGAGATGAATCATGCCATTTTTTAAATTCACTGCATTTTGAAGTGAAAAATGAGATTTTCGGTTGGGGATGCCCTAAAGCATTGCCTTTTTCGTTCCTTTTCTCAGAAAAATGGATCAGACATATGCTAAAAGCAAATTCATGTGCATTATTCTGAATATTTTTACCAAATGATGAGCATCAACTGATTATCTAGAACTCAGAAAATTCCTTATAAAGCCAGAGTGGTACTGTGTGTCTGCGTGAGCACTGCCAGTTCTTGGCTCATGCCAAATGAATTACAGAACAAGGAAGCCTGCCCTGAAAACTTTAACAAACTAAAAAACAATTGATTCCCTCCTATCACAATTTTTTCCCAGAACGAACTCAATTCTCATCTAATCACGATGAATGAAGCCGAAAAAAGAATTCATAGAAAAACGCAAAGCCGCATTGGCCAATGCTATTTCAAAGATAGATCTAGTTATAACTAACAACAGAACATTGTAATTGAAAAGAAGCTACGAAACGGCGATGATTCCGGTACCTTTTCAGGACGAGCCCGGAGCTGCCATCATCAGATGTAAATAACCCGACGGCAATATGTTCGGGAGCAATAAAATTACATCCCGTTGACCTGGAGAACTCAACGGCAGCCTCAAAAACTCGCTTGCTGCTGATGGAGAAGGGCATGTTCGACGCCAATGACTCCGCCCCATCCTCATCAGCCGCAGCCCCATCGTTCCAAATTGCCCGCACGGCATCACGTGCCGGTCCAACAGTAATCCCCGATCCAAGAAACCCGTCCAGAGACCGATCCTCAGCAATCAAGCCGAGAAGTAGATGCTGTGGAAAGACCATGTCCTTTCCAAGGGCCTTTGCCTCCCGCTGGGAAAACACCACAGCCTTAATCGCTCTTTCAGTGAATCTCTCGAACACAGCGGATATTGTCTGCTTCCACCTCCGGCGGGAGCTGCTGGTAGGGTTTGCTCGACGGGCGAATAAGGGATTGGAGTTGGGATGGAGGAAGCCAGGACGGAAACTAGATAGGGATGCTCGGGACGCCCGATACGACGACGCCGCCGGTTGGGTGGGACGGAGGCTAGCGCGACGGTGAGGGGCGAGGCGAAGAACATCAATCGGACGAACGGTCAAGATGGACGAGGAGCAGCACGCCTCCATGGTCGTACCCTTTGCTTGACCTCCTCGCTTTTTCTTCGCCTTCTCCCTCCCTTTGCTGTGTTCGCTTTCTTGCTTCGATGAGCTCAACTTCTTAAAAGATCAAAAGATAGACCCAAAAAGAGGAGAACTGTGACTTGGCGTGGACGGAAGGAGAAAGGAAGAACAGCGGGCCGACACGCTAGGCATCTACGATGCGAGCGCGTGGAGAAGAGTGGCGAAAGGAAGTGGACGAGGATGGTTCCGACGATGGGAAGTGGCGGCGGGTAAAAATAACAAACGGTTAGTATAAGGAGTAAGGAAACTATGACTAAAAACGCAACGAATGCCCGCGGTCATGTGCGACTGTGAGGCATTAGAGGACAAGCACCGCCATGAGGAGTTCAAAGGAATCTTGGCTCTCATTCCCACTTACCAAAGAAAGAAAACTAGAGGAAAAACTTTTATTTTCTCATCTATATTAAAGCATTGTGTTATGACTTATGATTGAAGACCATCAACATTACAAAATTCGAGGCAAAAGAACTATGGTCGGCCCCCTCTTACAGGATTTCCTAAACGTGCTTCATATTCAAAATCATTTCACATTGGCAATTATCGACTCTTTATTGGGCAAGCAACATGTGATGAAAAAACAACATCACACTTCAGTTAGTAATTGACCGACGATAAAAGGGGGATTATGAATATATATATAACCGTCCCCATATTAAAAATATATAATTGCATTTATTGAAAGCTTCACCATCCCCATACCACTCTCATTTGTGTTTCTCGGTCGCCAAAAGATATATATTTGAGAAGAGAGAGGAGAGAGAAGGCGGACTTTGAGTTGATATTTTTCATTGCTCTGACTACAAAAAGTGATTTTATTAGGGTAAGAAACTTTTATCAATAACAACTCAAAGTTTGCTACTCTACGGTGATATTTTTCGTTACTCTACGGTGATTTCAATTTTTGTAGTTTTCCATTCTCCCAAAACTATTTAAAATGCATTATCCCTAGATTTAGTAAGTTTCTATCACACACACATATATGATTGATATCATTATTTTGAACAATTCGACTGGAGCATTTTGAAATTCTATCGGGTAGTTTTGTATGTATACTATTTTTTTAATGAAATGAGTAGAACAAAAGCATGAATAAAATGTTTAGGGACTAATATAGATATGAAATACATTATTTGCATTGAAGTATTGTTTATTGATTCGTAATGCAATATTTAGATATAATACATGCATTCTGACAGGGCGCCTTGGATGGATTTATTTACTATAATAATTGTACGGGATGATATGATAACTACTAGTATATGAGTTATGATTTGTCATGTGTGTGAAAGCAAGAAAAGCTAGATGAAAATGATTTATTGATTCAGGTTGGCTAGAGACATATTATATTGTATAGAAGGGTGGTTTATGAAATTTTATTTTAAATAAAGTTTGTAGTGTAATTATTTTTTTTTTACATTTTGTTTGTGATTTTTCTAATTTATAGTTTTTTTAATTAAAATTATATAGTTTTTAATCCTCAAAATACTATATGTAATATTAGTTTTGTGCGAAATCTGATTGTGTCAATTAATTTGGTTGTACCGTTGACTCAAATCTCAATTCCGTCGGTTGAGTTTGATGAAGAGCTTACACATGGAAACAAGCCCCATGCTTGGGGGTTTTGGGGCAAAGCCTCCGAAAAAATTTCCTATATGCATGACTGTACAACGTCGCGGTATTGCATGTATACTTGAGCACACATTATATACTATGGTTGGATACAATAGGTAAAAGACTGCAGCTTTGTAGGCCCCAATGCCAATACGCTGCAAAGTAGATAGATAGTGGAGTGCTGCGATGCTTCAGACCTTAGTGGAGTGATGCTAAGGGTTGGGTTGAGCAATTTTCTTTCATTTTTTTCTTATTGCACTTGAAGAGTTGAATCATTTGGTATAATAGAAGTACATCTTTTTGTCTATTTTGTGTGTAGAACAACATAGGAACTGAATAAAGACAAAAGAGTGGATAAGAAGGGAGATTTGTAGAATTCATCTTAATTTTTATAGTGAATTTCTTGGTGTACTTGATGGGGCTCCATGATATTTTTTCTATTTGTGGGTTTTTCAACTATAAATCTTAGTGTACTTTTCTATTGCTTTCTTCTATCTTGTTTGTTTCAATGTGTGGTTTACTTTTAACATGTAAAAGTCATATTAATTTTATATATAACTCACTATAAAGTTATAAAAACTTTTATGTACTTCTATCTTTATTAATTTTTTTAATATATAAATGCATATAATTTATTTAAATAATTAAACTTATTTAATATATATTATTTAAAATTTTTTAGAGGACTACATTCAAAATTCATTAAAAAGTTTATAATTATAACTTTAGTCAAAACCAATAAAATAAATTTAATGAATCAATTAAAATAATTAAAAATAGAAGCATTTGTTTAATTTCAATGTTATTTAGTATTTTGCATTGCTTAAAGAAAATTTTTATGATATTTTAATTATTTAGATTTCTTGCTTTCACTTTGAGTATTATGCTTTGATATCCATTTTATTCATTTTATTCACAATAAATTCAACTATTTCTATTTTAATCATCTAATTCGTTTTTAATGGTTTAATTGATACTTTCTGTTCTAAGTTGTCAAAATGATTCAATGCTAATAAATAAATATTCAATAAACTTAGTTATTTCCATTTGTAATCATATCTTCTTCTTCTTTTTTTTTCAAATGGCTCAAATGTCCCTCTTGTTGGGAGATGGAAGTAAAACCCCATAACTAAACCAATAAGAAGAAAAAGGACAACATGATTTAAGTAAAAAAACTTGAAATCAGAAAAAAATCACATAGCCACGTCACACCAAAAAATTCACTATAAAAATGGATAAAAAAAGTACATATATCTTCTCTCTCTCTCCTCTCTCTCTCTCTCTCTCTCTCTCTCTCTCTCTCTCTCTCTCTCTCTCCCCCCTTGCTTCTCTTCTCTCTTACACCGTTCTCACACTCTAAACAGAAGAAGAAAGCAATTAAATAACACCAAGGGATGCCACACCCTTTAGAAAAAAATGAGAAAGAAGTCTGTCCAGTCCCCCTCGAAGCCTTGCAGCGCCATATTGGAGCACTGGTGTGCTCAAACTTGCAGCGTTGCGGCACTACACAGCGCTGCAGCACCTAATTTAGGGTACTGTAGCTCTTTGGTACTTCTCCTAGCAAACAATGCAACACTGGATCGCTCGGGAACACAATATTAGGCACTCGGGTACATATCAATGGGCACTCGGGTACACATGGCCTAGTGCGCGGGTACACAAGGTCGAGGCGTTATACTAAAAAAAAAAATAGGGGTAAATCCTTCGCACCACCTAGCGAGCACGAAAAATAGACTTGAGGTCTGAGATAATAATACAGTCCGATTAATCATATTTCACACATATTAACAACTCTTAATAAAGTCCTTATACTTATAGTGATCTTTTTAAGACATAACATAATATAACAATTAAAATAACATAACTTTTAATTTTGATATTATATATGAATCACATGTACTTATAACAAATAATTTTTAACTAATATAAAAATTTATTTTTCTCATATAACTTATACTGAAGAATCTGACTTTATACGTGACATAATAGTAGTTAATGTCCAACTATGTTTGTTATTTTTTCTTAGAGAAACACAATTGAAATTTTATTTTGGACTAAATTGGCCAAGTAAATAAAAAAAAAAAAAAAGATTTTCTTCCTCCTAACACCATCTACATGGTCTCCAAGAGTATAATTGGTCAGTGGACAGTGGTGAAGTTCTGTGATGATGTGCTCTGTACTCTATAGTTATCATCTGACATCTGTTCAAGAAGGGCATGTAATTGATCAAGGATTGATATAAACAAAAATTAATCTTAATCGGGTACGAATCTCAAGGCAAATTTTAGTTGAAAACTTTCAAAATTAAATTCGAGATCATCCGAACTTCAATTTCAGTAAACTTATAGTTAAACTGAATATCTCAAAAAGACAAACAGAACGACACCAAGTTCGACCCAATCCAAACCCAAATGAATCCAAATCGAAGACCCAAAGGGTACTAGAAGGTTCAAACAATAAATTAGATGATCAAATAGTTTCTAAATGTGAAATGCTTGTAGTCGAATCAAGTGGCTTGATGAGACGAATTAACGAGCCCAAGATCACCGAATTCTAATATCATTAAGACAATCAAACATTTGATGAAAGATTGAAAGGTATATGATCAAGGGAGGAGTCAATATCAACCATCCATTCAAAAACTCTCAACATGCCCTTGGTCTTGTCTCTATTTACTAGTCATGCCACTCTTAAACAAACTATAAATAGGCCCCTCAATCTTCATTAAAAGGGGACCAAGTAAGGAAGAGAAGAAGAAGAGGAAAAGGAAGAGAAATCAGAGTTCTCTTGGCACCAACCTCCTCCTTGACCACCACCCGACCACCGATCAACGCTGGACTTTCGTTAGACTTCCTCCTGGCCACCGGCCGTCACTGAACTTTTGCCCAATCACCGAACATCATCAGCCTTTCGCGTGACCACCAGTTGTTGCCGAACATAAGCCCAAACACCAACTGACACCGAACTTATGCCCGAACACCAACTGTGTAACAACCCGTATGTTGACTTTGCCAAATAATTTTTTTAATGGGGTATTTATAAGTCCAAATCAAAAACGACTTTGCCATAGCATTGAGATTGTGTTATTTTAATTACTTGATTTTTTTTTGTAAATTTTTGGGGCTGATAAAAATCTTTAAGAAATTGACACCTGTTGGTACAAGTGAGAATTTTAGGACCATAAAGTGTCTGTTTTGTAAATTGATTTCACCAATATTTTTTAAATAAAATGATTTTTTTAAAGATATTTTTCTATACTTTTTAAAGTCCTAATATGATTTATTTTAATTTTATATAGAAGAATTGATTAAAAAAATATTATATTATTATGTTATTAAAATATCTTAAGCCACTTAAAAATTTTTATTTAAATCCCTTTCTCCACTTAGGTAATGGAAAACAAAGAAATCGTGAGAAAGAATTTGAGAAAAAAAAGATAAGAGAGATAAAAAAAATTTAAGATTTGGATATCGTGAATCAATTTTCGTCAATCGACCTAGTTGAGAATTTTGTTTGTCTTGCTGAAAGAAATCTTTTCCTTATTTCTAATCAATGATTTTGTATTTTTGATATTTTTCTGATCAAATTTGTGTTTCTATTACAAAAAAAATAAGAATAATTTTGTATTAATAAAACTTTCACCATGCAACTTTTTATATGTTATAAAGATTGAAATTATAAACGTTTTAAGTTTTTATTCAAGATTTTTTACTGAGTGATTTTGAAAATACAATAATTTTTGCCT